CCTTTTCACTTGCCGCCGTCCCCATGCTTCTCGTCACCTAGTGACGAGAAGCATGGGGACAGCTTCCCTGCTAATCGAGAAGCTGGGTAGCAAGTCTTTACATGCCGCCGAGATTCCCGGCTAATCAGGAAGCCAGGTGGCAAGTCATTACACGCCGCCTGGCTTCCTTAATGGGACTTCCGATATCAGTATTCAGTATCAGCGAGTACTGAAGAAAAAAAATATCGGTACTCGATACCGAAAAAACGGTATCTGTGCATCCCTAATTTATGTAGCTCCAACATATTCTGCAGCGCTGTACAATTGTTTAGAAAATACAAGTAATAAGCACTGACAAGCATCATTGACTTACAAAAACAGTAGGTGAGGAGGACCCTGCCCAAACGAGCTTACAATCTAACAAAAGCATAGAGCAGTGATCTGTACACTGGGCTCAGCTATGTCTCTGTAATGCTTTTCCCTGTAGATCCTGGATTTGCTGCACATCCAGAACAAACTGACAGCACGTCAGTTTCAGAGAGTGGCCACCGAAACATTCCTGAAGATGGGGCACGATCAGCCAGAGCTGGCAGAGAAGCTTCTAATTAAGCCAATGCTGGAGCCTCTGCTGCGCTGCACTGCGTTACAGGCTGGTAAGTAGCCACATTGTCCCCTAGTGAATCAAAAGCTTAGTCATTAGATTAATTGCAGTGCTGCATTTCTTAAAGAAGAACGCCGGGCATATGAAAAAATTACCCTTGCGGTGGAGCTATCCCTGCACTGCAGGAGTTAAGTGCTCGTTCTGGTCTAGGGGTTGAAATAAAGCTGTTTTATTTACCTGATCCCGACTCCTGTAGGATTGTTGGCCCTATTATTCGTATGTGTTCATTCCAACAAGATTTTTAACATATTAAAATTTTAGATTTGAGTATAGATTTGCGTAAATGAAACACCTCGTGGGCTTTCACACACTCGCATTAAGTTCGTCACCTCTGTTGTTTCCTGTTATTTCTTTTAGAAAAGTCTTTAGCCTCAGAAGAGACTTTTGTGTCAGAATTAGAACTGTCTCGATGTGTCGAGGACATTGTTAAGGTGAGTGTAAGTCAGGTAGTAACCTGAATACATTAAAACCCTAAAACCATGTTACCAGATCAGGATATATGGTACGCCCTAACTTTGTAAATAGAACTGAATGTCCTTTAGCCTGCAAATACATTTCTAGCATCTGTTGTGTATGTATATAGTAGGCAACTGAAGTGAGAACAATAATTCTAAGGCAATCATTCACAGATAACACTAAATCAATGGTGTAAAGGCTTTTAAAGTGTCACTTATGGACAATTTTGGGTACCATAGTTTTTAGTCACTTCATGGGCATACACAGTTTTGAGGCTTGATGCGCTTGGTATCTATGTATATGGTGGAACTTTGTTGTTTATATTTGTTGAGTATTATGTTGTGAATATATAGGTTTTATAAACAGTTGCACTAATATATAATAATACAATTATTGCATTAATTTTAAATTTAAAAAAATTGCACGCGCCACAATTTTTCCAAAGTCTTTGCTTGCAAAAATCTATCATCGCTCGGGGGTTTTAAGTAATCTTCAGTCGTAAAATGTGCATTTTTATAATGTGTACAAAAATGTCTTTGGCAATGAAAGAGTTAATGTTGACTTTGATTCTTTTTCATTGTTTGGTACATATGCTTTGTGTCTGGTTGTCAGTGTTGTGATCACTCTGTGTCTGATGGTCAGTGTTGTGATCACTCTGTGTCTGATGGTCAGTATTGTGGTTGCTCTGTGTCTAATGGTGCCCATACACTGCACAATTCTCGTACGAGAATCGCGGGAAATCCCGCGATCGTACGAGAATCGTGCAGTGTATGGAAGGCGTGCGACCCTCTGGGGCGGGCCTGCGATGATCGAGAGTACGATCTGCCTGTCCAAGATGACCGTTGCAGTGTATGGAAAGCGTGCGACCCTCGGGGGGGGGGTGCGGTTCTGCGATGATCGAGAGTACGATCTGCCTGTCCAAGATGGGCAGATCGTACGTTTTTTTAAGTACTTTACAACCATCGCAAGACTAAGGTCTTGCGATGGTTGTACAGTGTATGGCCACCTTAAAGCTGGCCATACACCTTACAATTATTCAATTTGGTTTTGTCCTCACATCGTACCCTCGTTCGATTTCCGTTCAAATAGCCCATCATGCACAGACCAATTTAGTTTTCGATTATCGTTCCTCAGCAATACTAACTCTATGATTCGTTGATCAACAGAACGGATTTTCGTTTGCGCATGTGCAGTGTTCATGTTGCAATTTTTGTTGTACGAAAACGCCACTAATCCATCGATTTTCATCCGTTTTCGACAACAGTTTTCTAGTCTGCCCGTTCCACCAAATTCGGCCAGTTGTACAGTAATTGCGATCGTGCACTTCCCATCAACTGGGCAATTATTGTATGAAAATGCGATCGCGGGTGATTATCGAACCCTAATTGTAAGGTGTATGGGCACCTTAATTGTCAGTGCTGCAGTTGTTCTGTGATTGTCAGTGTTACGGTTGCTGTGTTTTATTGTCAGTGTTGTGATTGCACAATGTCTGATTGCCAGTGTTGTGCTTTCTCTTTGTCTGATTGTCAGTGTTGCTCTTAATCTGTGTCTATCAGTGTTGCTCTTACTCTGTGTCTGATTATCAGTGTTGTGATTGCACAATGTCTGATTGTCAGTGCTGTGGTTGCTTTGTATCTGATTGTCAGTGTTGCGATTGTTCTGTGTCTGATTGTCAGTGTTGTGGCTGCTCTGTGTCTGATTGTCTGTGTTTGTGGTTGCTTTGTATCTGATTGTCAGTGTTGCGATTGTTCTGTGTCTGATTGTCAGTGTTGTGGCTGCTCTGTGTCTGATTGTCAGTGTTGTGGCTGCTCTGTGTCTGATTGCCAGTGTTGTGGCTGCTCTGTGTCTGATTGTCAGTGTTGTGGCTGCTCTGTGTCTGATTGTCAGTGTTGTGGCTGCTCTGTGTCTGATTGTCAGTGTTGTGGCTGCTCTGTGTCTGATTGTCAGTGTTGTGGCTGCTCTGTGTCTGATTGTCAGTGTTGCGCTTTCTCTGTGTCTGATTGTCAGTGTTTGTGGTTGGTCTGTGCCTGATTGTCAGTGCTGCAGTTGCTCGCTGATTGTCAGTGTTGCGCATGCTCTTTGTCTCATTGTCAGTGTTTGTGGTTGCTCTGTGTCTGATTGTCAGTGTTGCGCTTGCTCTTTGTCTCATTGTCAGTGTTTGTGGTTGCTCTGTGTCTGATTGTCAGTGTTGCGCTTGCTCTTTGTCTCATTGTCAGTGTTTGTGGTTGCTCTGTGTCTGATTGTCAGTGTTGCGCTTGCTCTTTGTCTCATTGTCAGTGTTTGTGGTTGCTCTGTGTCTGTCAGTGTTGCAGTTGCTCGCTGATTGTCAGTGTTGTGGTTGCTCTGTGTCTGATTGTCAGTGTTGCGATTGCTCTGTGTCTCATTGTCAGTGTTGCGGTTGCTCTGTGTCTGATTGTCGGTGTTGTAATTACAGGTGTTTGTAGTTGGTAACGATGCGGCACCATCCATACTGAACTACTGCAAACAGGTCCTTTCCATTGTCTTCTCCTTGTATTGTTTTGCTCGGCAGAATGTCTCTCACTTACGGTAAGTAATCAGCTACATTGTAAAGTCAGGAGATCGTCTGATGTTAAATAATATATTGAATCCTTCTTCATTTGATGTGCTGTTCCTGAGATATTATAAATGACATACTGTATATTGTTTGCTAGCTGTTGATATGAACACAATTCTGCCCAATAGAAGTAATTTAAAAATGGCCAAATCCTTCAAGGGAATATCCAACAAAAAGTAACATTCTATACCTAATTCTGACACCATTCATTCACATCAATTAAAGTGTATATCCAGACAAATTAGTGTTCTTTTTTAGTTTAGGATATAGTGGACAAGGATTAGAACCCCTGTCTGGCTTCCATTGCAGTGTGGGAGTTCTGAGAGAGAGAGATGTCCCCTCTTTCCCTGTGTCAACAGTTTGACCAGACAGGAAGTGGAGGGAAATCTATCACAGGGACACAGGTGGAAATAAAAAGGCTTTTTCTCACTAAAGTTTTCCCTGCCAGCTTTTTATTGGTCTGTGTCCCTGTTAGAGATGTTCCCTTGCTTTCTTTCTGGAAAAGCTCCCGGAGAGGAGCTTGAAAATAATCCTTTGTGATCTTGCTATGAAGGTCTCTGTTTGAGCACTTCCTGTGGTGGGGTGACAACTGTTTAACAGGTTGTGCTCCTGCATTGTCACCCTGTCACCTGCACCCCTGGTGGAGACTATAAGTGGCCATACCAACACACATTGGGCAAGTATAGTCACCATTGACACTATCAGGAAGCCAGTACAGAACAATGATGTGGGAGTGTGTGCATGTACACAGGAAGTGTCTAAGAAGAGGCTGGAGGAGATGCAACTAAGAATAATGAAAAGTGGGTGGCAATTTTGTTTTTATATGCAAACTAAATTTCATGTAGTTAGCATTAAGGGGTCCCTTCCATCAGAATTCCTTTAAGCAGCTCAGGGCCGAGCACTATCCTAGGGGGTCACAAGCTCCTCCACACCCCATGGTGCCAGACAACCTAACTGAACATGCCTTTAACTACAGCTTACTAAGAATAAACCTCCAGGATTAACCACCCGAACAGATTCTTCTTGAATAATAAATCTAAACTCTGATGAAGTTTTGAGAGCTACAATTTGAACACAGCATGTTATCTTTTCCAGGTCACCAAGCCAGGATATCCTCCTGTGGTACCTCGAGAAATCAGACAGATATTCTGCGGTATCTGCACTGGCAGGGTTGAGTGGCCTGGAGGAATGGGTCCCTTTCTTGCCTCCCTTTTGCCACATCCAACCTGGGAGCCTTGGTGGAGCGATCATCACTGTTCAAGAACAGAAAAGGTGAGATTTTTTTACAGTTTACATCCTTGGTTCTCAACTGGTGGGTTGTGACCCAAAAGTGGGTCGCGACCCCATGTTCAGTGGGTCGCAACATGGCTTCCTTTTAGGAAGCCATTTCTCCCTAGCACAGCACTGTCAGTTCTTGTGCGAGCAGCCATTTAAAATATGGCCTTGCATGTCAGCTTAAGGTGGGGTGGGGTGGGCTGGAAGTATGGCCACAAGGGAGCTCCATCCATACGTGCATTGCTTACAGCTCCCTCGCATGCCCTGCAGAGGTGCCTGGACTGGAATGATGTCACATTCTGGCTCCTGTGCACCTCTACAGGGCATGCGAGGGAGCTGTACAAACAATGCACATATGGATGGAGCTCCGTCACAACACAGCAGCCCACACTGGACACCAAGCTGAGGATCCATTCCAGTTCTCATATGGTAGGGAGACTGGGGGGGATCTTTAAAAAAGAAAAAAAAGTATAATATTTTTGGGAGTGTGTATGAGAATGCCTGAGTGTGTGAGATTGCGTCTGTGTGTGTCTGTCAGTGTTTTTAAAGGGTCCGTTCACACTAGTACAGTGAGTAATTCACACAGTCCCATGCGATTAATGCACTGTACGACGCAATCGCACCTACTGCGTGTTCTGGTAATGAAGGTGCCTTGCGTTGCCATTAATTTGAATGACACCAAAAACACACCTCCCACCCACAGTCCGATCACCTGCACCCAAATGCCCGGTACTGCAATGCCACGCATTCCATTGCAGTGTGACTTGGGTCGCAAATGAATTATCAAGGAAAAATGTGGGTCCTGAGATAACACAAGTTGAGAACCACTGGTTTGGATTACTGTTTAGATTCTACTTCTTGCCACCAGATGGCGACATCATACAATAAAGCGACTAAAGTACAAGTATCACATGGTAGAAAAGTCACTCAGAGTGTGAATGACTTTTCTACCATGTGATACTGATCTGCAGAGGCATCTGCTGTCATCTCCGCACCCATCCATTATCTTGGGTTATACCCGGTCAGGAGTGCGATAGGATCTACTTGAAATACTAAATTACAAGTATGGCGGCAAATGATGTGTATTGACTGTAATGATTTTCATCTGCGTAGAGAAATCGCAGGGCAGGGCTCAAGGCAGGAAAAAAAAGATATTCCTAGACTTGATTAGTTAGGCGCATATCAACAACCTGCACATAAAGTAAAGGAAATGCATGGATTGTACCAAGAGCTGTAAATCCCCTTTACTTTCTTCCTGCTGTATCCTCTGTCATGCACCTTGGAGAGCATGAGATCCATATATAAGCAACATAGCAGGTAGGTGAACCTGGGAACTCAGATGCAGAATTCTCAAGGTGTTTTTTAAAGGGCCACTGCAGTTCTATTTACCCTAACTGTATACACATCAGACTGACACATTGCTTTGTTCAAGCTCATAGAAATGATCTCCTTCTCCGTGCATTGTGTTTTTCAGAAGTGGAGATGATGATGATGTTCTATATGAGAAGGTGTCCCTGGATCACTGGAGGGTACAGTGTTTAGTGGATTTACTGTCTGTGAATCCTCACACCGGACTGGCGGCAGACTTCTTCTTGTATTGCCTAAAGGTAACTGCGGAGAGCAAAGTGCAGCTCGTTGCATCTCTTGACAGCCCGTAACAAATCGTGACAACCCTGCAATTACCTTTCACCTTTCTGATGTCACTGCATGGAATTCTGTTTGCTAAGGACCGCTGCTTTTAGCATACCATCTGAACTGTTTGACTAAGCCTGTATGTGTCTTTCACTGGGAAAGCAACAGTATGTGGAGAAGTGGGAGAAGGATGTTTAAGAAGTGCAGCATTCCTTGCAATAATTGTTAGTGCATAGTTTAGTGCCGGTGCTCTGTCGAAATCTCCAACTACCTCACTTGCAGTGCTCAGAAAGACTGGAGCTGTACAGTTGCGGTGTGCGTTGCGTTTTCAGAATACTCGTCGAGTTTGCTACCTGCTGAATATTGTTAAAATGCAGCTGTACAGAGCTCCGACAGTCTTTGTGTTTTGCAGTCTAACGCTGTCTGGTTGAAGTCTCCAACTTGCAAGTACCCGGCAGTGAGTTAGTTGGAGATTTCGATGAGTTGGAGCTTTCGATAGAACACCGCAGTAAGCAAAAGTGATCAGAGTAAAAAAATAATAATTTTCTGTCTCTAGACCAGTGGTTCTCAACCACCGAGCCACAGACCTGTGCCAGACCTGTGTCCTGCCTGCTACTGGGCCACAACTTGTCTGCCAGCCTGCGAGAAATGACAGCTGAAATGAATGGACAGCATTGGTCCTGCTTTTTACTCAGTGTAATCTGTAAACACAACCTGTAACCAATCAGACACTTTGAAGCTGCAGCTTCAATCAGCCAATTCGTGACGTTGTAGCATGACCGTATCAGTTCTTCCTGATTGGCTCCATTTCCATGGTGTGATGTCTGATTGGTTACACATAGCACATTGTGACATATTCTTAAACCTGCAGTACTGATACAATGTACCTAAAGAGCAACTCCAGGGATTACAAAACTAACTCTAAAGCGCCCTGCATGGTGCCGTATAGGCCTGAAGGGGCCATAAAGATTTTCTGCATGGGAGTGCACATTGAATTTAGTTTTAAACTTTTAATAGACTTTGTCATTGTGTCTATTAACATTTTTTTCTGATTATTCCTTTTTTAATACATTTAAATAAATATTTTGCATTCCCATGCTTTTATTCAATGAGTATAAACTTTTTTTTTTTTTTTTGTCCTGTTGAGGCATAAAATGTTTTGGAAGAATTTAATGAGCCCTGGTCTCACTAAGGTTGAGGATCACTGCTGTCAAATGAAAATAGGCTCTATGGGCTCAATTTACTATTCTTTCTTCTTTATGGTTTGTGTAATTGTTAGGCCCATATAACACTAGTGGCATTTTGGTAATCCATTTTCTCTGTCGTTCTCTAGAAGCTGACCCCCATAACATCAGTAGAAGAAGGTGAAGAGCTCAGACCTAGCTCAGGTGACAGCTTGCTTGACATTGAGCAGAAGCTGACACTTCGCTACCAGACGCAGGAACAATACCTTCAGCTCCTGCAGATTCTCTCTGTGCTGTGTGAAAAGATCTCCGACTCCATCTTCACAGATGTCAAGCAGGTGAGAGATGGTTCGCAAGGCACGCTGGCATCTGCAAAGGTTGTCATGTCCATTTATCATATTCTCGTCTGCACACAGGTGGTCGAATTCGTGTTGATGACTCTTGAGCGGGCTTGTTCAAGCCTTGCCACCTCAGAGGGAGTTACAGTGGCAACACAGACACTTAGCATGGCCATGGGACTGGTAGCTGCCATGCTGGGAGCAGTGGAGGTTAGTGCAGTATGTCTGTACGTTAAAGTGCACGTGTCTCTTTTCTCTTATAACTTCTTTTTATTAAACAGTTTGCATTACCGAGTGTTTAACAGGACAGTCAATAAAATACAAGTTATGGATTGTTTATCAAGGAATCCAACACGTCGTTATTCATATCTGCATTGGTCAGATTATCCGTATCGGTGTTAGAAACAACATAAGTGAAGTAAAGAGTTAACAATCAAATATAGTAAGATGTAATACATGACAAAATGGTGCAGGGAATATGTTTTTAAACAGAAAGTTGTGAGCAAAAAGGGAAGGACTGTCAAGGGGCCAAGTAGGGAGAGTGTCTGTGTCATTTTGTAAGACGGTATGCTGTAAAGGAGTTAAACAAACCATTTACACAGCACTTGGTGCACTTTCTGAACTCCTTAAGGACCAAGCTTCAGATGCTTGTCTTTCAGTTAAGGACCAAATAAATGTTTGCTGTGTGTTCAACTGCAATTTCCATCTTTCTCATTTATTGCACCAACACAGGATAGATACCGTTTTTTAAAGAACAAAAAGGGTTTTAATTTGACGTGACATATGCATATATAGGTTCTCATATAGTGCATGAGGGAAGCTTCAACCCTTAAGGACCCATGACAGAATAATTTCGTCATGGGTCCTTAAGGGGTTAAGGTGCAATTAAACCCTCCCTGTAAAAAATGTATATTTATTTGCGTACCTTTGTTGTTGGTGTTCCCTCATCTGCTTGCTCCCGTCCGGGGCTACAGAAGTGTGTGCCAACACACACTGGCAGCACAAAGCCCTGTGTTGGAAGTCCCTATGCGTCCTCCTTGCCAGCGCTGCAGCGTGGCAGCAAGATTATAACAGCAAATCACCTGACTGCTGCATATCATGTGCAGTGTAAGGAGGTTTGCTGCAAAGATACATGGAGCTATGTTGATATGAAAAAGTGAGTGTTTGAAGCAAAATAACAGTAGGGGAACTGTCAATAATTCATAGTAAAGTGCAGCTAATGGTAAAAATACTTTTTCCACTTTATGACTCGCCACCCGGCTTCCTGATTGGTCAGGAAGCCAGGCGCTTCGGCAAGTGAAGCCGGTGTTCTTTCGATAGAACACTGGCTTCCCAGGCAATCAGGAAGCTGGGTCATGATCTGCTGCCCGACTTCCTGATAATCTGGGCACACGGCACCTGTATCGGTGATTGGTATCGGCAAGTACAGAAAAAAACAATATGGGTACACGATACCTATAAACCAGTATCGGTGAATCCCTACTTTAAACCCTCACCCCTCCTGCACTTTTATCATAGCCCACTTTTCTTGTGCGTACAGTATAGGACACGTGCAGAAACATTTACGACGTCTGAGTATATAGCGCTATTGCCAGGTGACTGGACTCTGGGCAGAGCTGTAGGACATTATATAACTCCTCCCACAAGAGGAGATCCCCAATTTTTTGCTAGTGTCCTTAGGGGATGGATATTTTTCTCTCTCTCAAAGAATGTGTTATAGTTTAGTCTTTTATTGCCTCTTCAATCAAATTTCTTTGCTTCACACAGCTACGGTGGTGATTGTGCAGTTTCTTCACGGTGGGAGCTTCGGGGCCGTACCCATACCCCACATGGTCACTGACAGAAGATGTGCACTGGATCCTTTGCTAGCCCTCCAACAGGGTTTTAAGATGCCTAAAAGGAAGAGTAGACAAACTTCAGAGAAAAATGGAAGGAGAAATGATTGGTTTGCACAGTGCTAGGGATTGGGGTGAAAGAGTTAATCCTATTGATTGCTTTACCCAAACTATTATTTAGCAGCCGGTGACAAAGCATTAATTCATAAAGAGGGCATGAGTCACTGTTCCATGAGCTGGCAGGTTTAGCTTCCTGGCTCATTATACAGGTCAAGAAAAATAGGTCAGAGACCTGTTCCCATTCCCAGCATTTACAGATCACTGCCTATATTGCGTTTTAGGTTACTCTGTGATCTTTCCCATTGTGAGATTGTTGGGTGCAGTATGGGATCGGATTGTCTCATCTTGTGTTGCTTGTTCTTTGCACCTAAAAAAAAAACCTGATATTGTTTTATCATGACAAAGTGTCTCATGACATTACGTTCTCATTAAATGGAACAATTTTATCCTTTTATAGTAATTATTTTTACGTTCTGAAAATCTGTGTAGTTCTGATACATTGTATCAGTCTATAGGTATAAGCCCTCTCAGGGATGGACTATGGCAAGGACGTTGAGAATTTGTAGGTTGTGGAAGATGATTTCTACATTTCAGAAGAGCTCCAACCAGATTCTTCCACTCTCCCTGTTGGCCAGTGAGGCCACCAGTCACACTTTTATCACCAGGCAGGACATTAGGGCGCTATGCAAAGATGAGATATCTGGAGGCTGTTACCATAACAGGAGGACTCTGCATGGTCACATTAAAAATTAGCTAAGCATTCATGCAGGCAATTTAAGTTGCCTACTTTATTATCTGGAAGACAGGTTTCATCTGTGCAAGTGCCTAGAAGTATCACCTAAAGTGACTCTAACACTTAAGAAAGACAAAGCTGATATCTAGAAGATATTTCTCACTGTTTAGACTCCGTTGATCCAATATACCCATGCCTCACTTTCTCCTGAAAGCTTTATTTATTTATAGGGTTTTTATCATGCAAAGGAACCTTGGGGGGTCCTGGTGCCTACCCTTTCACCTTTCTGTTTCCTTCTCTGTCTTTCTAGTTGATTCTACCTTTGTACACTCTTATGTTTTACCCTTTTCACTGCTGAGTTTGCACTCCATGACCATGCCACTCCATGGCCAGATGAACACCCACTACATGGTTTGCCAGACGAGCTTCCGAGGGTTGTCCTGGAGAGTTTTCTGCATATCTTCCTTTCCCCATGCTTCATAAAACTGCCCATGGTTCAATTCCCCCAACCTAGTCAACCTACTGCCCCACAAGACCATGCAAGTTATGGACTGTTAATGCTACAGCAAACAAAGCCATTGTAGACAATCACAGTTTTAACCTTGTGGGAACAGTTTGAGAAAGGCCCATTTCTTTTCCCAGCATAATCTGTGCTCCATAAAGACACTGGGGGGAATTTATCAAAACTGGAGCAGCTGTGCATGGCAACCAATCAGCTTCTTTCTTCTGTTTGTTCAGTTAAGATTTAAAAAATTAAAAGAGAAGCTGATTGGTTGCCATGTACAGCTGCTCTAGTTTTTGTCTGCTCCAATTTTGATAAATTCCCCTGATTGTATGATGAGTCTGGTGTGGAGGAAGTTGAATGGCCTGCACAGAGCCCTGACCTCAACCCTATGGAATGCCAGTTGTGAGCCAGGTCCTCTCGTCAAACATCAGTACCTGACTAAGGATGGGATCGAGCATGTTCGCAGCTCCACGTGCCGAGCCCGCCAGGAAGCTGACAGCGCGCAGCACCAATCACAGGTACTGAGACATTTTCCCGGTCCGCAGCTGCAGAGATCGGGAAATGTCTCAGTGCCTGTGATTGCGCGCTGTCAGCTTCCTGGCGGGCTCAACACGCCCGAGCCCATCCTTATACCTGACCTCACAAATGTACTTTTGGCTGAATGGGAACAAATTCAAACAGACAAACTCTTTTGGAAAGCCTTCCCAGAAGATTTGAGGCTGTTATACCCACAAAGAGGGGCCAACTCCATACTAATGCCCATGGTTTTAATTTTCAACACGCTCATATAAGGCATGCTCATATAGGTCAGGTGTGCACAACATTTTGGCTTTGGAATGCCTGGCCTTTCTTAACCAGCTAAGCTTGGGCATCTCCTTGTATTGGAACTTGCCTGCCTCCTACACATTCCTGTTGCCCAATGAGGCAATAAGAAATGGTGGCTGGATGGTTCTCACACTACCTGAATGTGTCACAGCTTTGCCCATTCAGGACTGTTTGGGATTTCGGCATACAGCAAGTAATTAAACCAGCAGCCTGTATGTGCAGGCAACGCAAATGACAGATTCACTTTACCAAATCAAAACATCCCTTGAAGAAGGAAATTTCTCTACCATATTGCATATTACACAGTGTAATATAGGAGGAAGTAGGAAGGAAGGTGATGATGACTCCTGCCCAGCCCTGTAGTAAACTGGCACAGAGCAGACATCCAGGAGCCCTTCGGAGAGTCGGGAAAGTGAGCTAATTGCAGCCTCTCCTATTATGCAGCCTGTAATCTAGATGAGCGTTACTCAACATTATTATATAAGTACCATTTATAGCAAGAAAAGTTTAAAAGTGTCCCTTGCTTAAGTACCCTTTATAGTGACCACGTTTATTGGTGGTGCCCACTAAGTGTGCATAAACGTCTTCCTTATACCAGGCCAGTAATGCCATTCTTGTGGCCAGGAGTTTTAACTGATGAGTGTTTGTTTTCTGCCTGAACCTGCACGTAACATCTTTTTATATAAGAGGTGACTGATGCTTGGCACAATGAGGGATCTTACTATATTATATATGCTGTCGTGTATATGGATATACATGCATGGCATTTGTTTATGTCAACCTGTCACAGATCTAGACAATTCAAACTCAGAGTTTGCTGAGAAAAATGCAAAAGAAGAGGCCATCTTCATGGAAAATTGCCTTTAAACTGATATAAAAAAGATTCTCTGCAGGAAAACCGCGATGTATTTTTAGTGATCTTATATTCTTAGAGTGGTATTAAAGTCTCCATTTTTTTCATATTTCTACTGCCAGCAAGAAGTAGAGCATGCCCCAACATTTAAAGGAGAACTATGGGGTCAGGGCTTTTCCCCATAGTTCTCCTAAGGGTCGCAGGAGGACATATACTAGCGTCCTCCCGTGACCCAAAGCTCAGTATACCGCGAGCCGTAGCGCGCGGTATACTGAGACGCCGCAGCCGGGACGGATCCCGACATTACTGTCGAGATCCACCCAGCTGCGTGATTGACAGCTGGCTCTGCCTATCTAAAGGCAGAGCCAGCTGTACCCGCCCCCTTCCCCGTCCGTTACGCCAGTCATCGATGGAGGATCGGACAGGGGAGGGGGGGAATCCCTGCCGGGAGCCGTGAGTGACAGTCACGGCTCTCTGCAGGGACAGGATCGAGAAGTATGCGAGCAACGGTATGTGTTCTCTCACTTCCCGATCTATTGAGCCGACCTGTGACAGTTTCATTGTCACAGGTCGGCTAGAACTATGAGGCTGAGTGATTTTCACTCCCCTCATAGTTCTCCTTTTAAAAAAGAAGAAAGTAGGCATATATGTAATAATTTACCTGTGTCTGGGCCACTCGCTCCCTGCTGCAGAACAACCTCCCGAACGGCTGTGCAGCAGGAAGTATGTACGGGCGCATGCATCCTCAATATCACCGGAGTGTGAGTGAATGCACGCAGTCGGGAGCGTGCACGCAGGACAGACTCCATGGGACACAGGAAGACCTAGGAGTCTGCGCTGGATTAGAGAGCGGCCACAGCGCTGGAGGGACTGTTGGAAATGACTGGAAGGAAGATGATGTTCGCATCAAGAGGCATTACATAAGGTAAGTACTTAAAGCAGCATGGGGGGCGGGGGG